ATTGCTTTGAGAAAATTTTTAATACAAAATTTCTAAAGACTTCTACACTCGTATCGTCTCTCGTGCCGTTTTTGTCTCGTTAAATTGACCAACAAATTGCACGGAAAACCATTTTTCAATGGATTTGCAAAATATTTAAACCGATATTTACTCCATCGTACAATAATATCGATCCGGCGTGCTCTCGTTATTTGAAAACTTCTCAACAATTTTCCGATTCGCGAAAAATCGATGGCGTGGCGTGGAAATAAAATTCTTGAAAACGATGTTCAACCATTCTGCAGAAATTATCGAACGCGTCCATAATTCGATAACACAATCATCTTTCTCACAATTTTCATCAGGAAAATTTCACCCTCGTTAAAAATATGGTTTTTGCGAATTACTTTCCTTCTTTTCGTTCTTTCTCTTTATTCGTCGAAATTTTGTGTCCAAAAGAGCGCGTAAAACTTCAATAAACTTCAACATATTTCTCGAAGCTTTAAGGATAAATGGATTCTTAGGAATTCTGTTAAATTTATCTCGTCAAACACTTGAAAGAATCGTGAAAATTGGCGGAGAAACGGGCTCGAGTAGTCCTTTGTACGAAAAGAAATATTTTTCTCGACAACGGGTGCCGATGCACAGCAGTTGAACGTGCTCGTCACTTCCACTCTACAAGAGCCTTAATTACTCCCGCTGCAAATATTTGCATTTCAAGTGGCTTTCGCTTGCCTGCATAATGTTTGACACAGTTGCAGCGACGGAGATGGGTCCTGTCTGCTCGAGAATGCCTCCAAGTGGCACGAGTGGCCACTTTGTAACCGCGTCACGCACGTGGTCGACCGAAAAAAAAAAAAAAAGGTGTACAACGTAACAACGTCGAAATTTTATCGAAGCGAGACGAAATTTTTTTCGCCGCGGGGGGAAAAAAGTAAATCTCATCACAGATTTCCACTCAACACCGCGACTCTTCGTATAATCCTAGATGGACCGTTTCGTTACCAATTTTGTCCCTGAAATGTTTTCAATTTTCATGATATGACTTCTCTCAAAGCTGTTCGAGCCAGCATGAAATCCCTTCGAATAATTTCGAATCGAGAGAAACGAATTTCGCTTTTGACGAGTTCCGATGGTATAAAGTACCATCGAAACGGCATTTCAACTTCTTAGAGATTTCCATAGAGACGTATATTCGTTTCCAAGAGTGGCGTTCACGTTCCCCCGTGAAACTGGAGCATCGGCTCGGTCGTCGACTGCGATTAAACTTGCAAACTTTGCCCCATCCTCCTTGTTATCAGTCGCAACGAGTCGTTGAAACGGATCTTTGTCTTTTCGCACACTCGTGCGTCCAAGTATTTTATGATTCTCCGATAATGGGTATATCTCGAGCGAAACTAGGGCGAAATTCGGAAAACAGGCGTTATCAGTATCACCTGTTCCATTTGTAATGACCGTGTATCTGTCTATCGATCCGCGTTTCGCGATAAAACGCACTTGGTGTGGATCCATCATTCGCAACGTGTCCAAATCAATGTTGGAATTAATTTTGAATTAATTTGTTGAAATCGTACGTAATGGCGTAAATCGATCAGAAAGCTTGGATCGAGGAAACATCAGGAAATTTGTTTGAAACATCAAGATCGACGAATAATTTAAAACGAAACTTCGAGTTGATGCCCCGGTTCGTCGCATTGTTCCATTCGGGGGAATCGAAAGGGGCACATTTTCTGCGGCCAGAGATGAAAACTTTGTCGAGGACATGTCACGTCGAGTAAGTATCGCCGCAACAACTTTTGAAAAAAAATTTATTCCGCGCTTGGAAAGGGTTTTTTTTATATATATACGGCGAGCTTTCACGAGCAATTTCCCCGTGGGTGAGCGAATAACTGCGTATATCCCATAGGTGTGGGCTCTAACGTTGTTTTAACGACGGCAGAGCTACGCGGATCCCCAACGATGGGAAACAAGATTTTCGTTCGATGATATAAAAATGAAATTGTATGGAAAATTGGCGATATTTCTTTTGCAATCCTTCTTTTTTTATATTTGAACGAAAGGTCAATTAAATTACAATTCTTTCAAAAGTGTTGCGTTTTTTAATCACGTTTCAAAGTAATGCGGTAACTTTTAGTGCGAAATACATCGGGAAAAATTGTAAAATTTTGGGGCGGAGGGGGGGAAAGATGTTCGAACGATAGCAGAATGTGCAACCTTTAAAACGCGCTTTGTTTCATTTTAATATCTCAATTGGTTGCCGAGATATAACGTTTTAAACATAACGCGTTAAAGTTACGAACGAAAGGGGACTCCGTGGCCTACTTTTTTTCCTGTTCATGCGTACGTCTTTCCAAGAATCTCGAAAAAAAACTGCTTACTCGCGTCTGTCACTGACCAGCGCACGTGGCGCCAAGTTGAGATAGGTGAGAGCGGGCCTAAGGAGCGAGAGGACCGAGTGTGCGATAGGGACGGCGACAGGAAAAATTAGGTTTATCTTCGAACGACGATATCTCGGAAACGGGAAGTCGAATCGAGATCAAACAAAAAGAGTTTTAAAGAGGAAGAATTCGCGTTTCCGACGATCTTAATTTGATCGATAAAAAGTGGCTAGATTCGAAGTTACAGTGGTTTGAAGTTTTGGTAATTTTAATAGGATTTTTGTCGCGGTGTTTAAGAATGGTATGATGGTTTTTATGGTTCTTTTACGAATAATTTTGCTCGAAATAATGATATTTAGTTGCAATGAATGGTGTTTTAGAAATAATTATTTCTCGAAATAATATTAGAGAATTTTTTGAATTTCTAAGCAGACAATAAGCGATTCCGATAGGAAATCTAAACTTTTCCCGTACAATTCGAAGGACGAAACGACAGTTTGATACGACAGATGGGAGCTAAGGGAAGCGATCCTTGTATCACTTGTAGTTGTCATTTAATATCACATTCGTGACAAGACGGAAGATAGAATTTCATTCTCAAAGCAATCATAAGTAGCAGAAAATAAATTTGCAAAGAAATAATCTCAGACGAGAACTTTGCTAATAAAATGATAAAAATAAGTTCAGATGGGAAAGACGGAACAGAAAGATACGATTTTATTAACCATATCATTCAGTCATATAATTTTGTTAGAATTAGCATCCGCTCTCTCTCGTCGATTTATTTCGTCTGGAAACTTTTCCCATCTCTGTCTAGCATTTCACTGAATAATTTCTAGATTTATGAGTCAAATTTCCTTTTAAAAAAGACACTCGTAAAATAAACCCTAAGTCATTTGGAAAATAAGTTGGGCACGTATCGAGATGTAAAGTTCAATATTTTGAGAAATTTTTCAATTTTATCTCTAAAATTCTCTTTTAAATAAATTACGTTGAGGAAATGGTTATACATCAAAAAATTTTATACGAGAATTTTCGTATGTTCAATTTTACATAATAATCTTTTCTTCTCTGCTAGGTTTTTTTTATCAACCAAGCTAACTATCATCTAGATAGAGTTTTGAAAACAAACAAAGAGCAAAGTATAACAGCGGATCATCTGTTGCACGCGAAGGATTAATTTCTAGTGGCGACAACAAGATCTTGTTTGCAATTTCTTGCCCCTCGGGTATTAGTTCGACGAAATCTTCAGGTCTGAAATTTCGCTCCGGCTTAATTCGCGTACATACACGAACACAGGTATATCTATGACACGCGGGCCTTGTGACTCCAGGGAATCTCAACTTCTGTTATTCCTTATCTATACATACATAAATCCTCCGGAACTAACAATACAACAAATTTATATAGTAAAATGTTTTCCCCGTTAACAATACTCCTTTACTTTTTCCATCTAATAATATTCCCCTCCTCCGTGACAAATATCCTGTCACAGAAGATGTAAATTTTCAAAAAAAAAGAAAAAAAAAGAAAAAGAAAAATACTTCGATCAACTAACAAATTTTTTTTGTCCAAAATTCAAACGACAAAATTATAAAATTTCGATCAATAGGGCATCAATAGAAGGCAAAACGCGAAGAATTTAAATTGAAAAATATTCAATTTAAAATTCCTCCCCTTTCATGTCAACAAAGTTTCCATCCTCTAAATTATTCCGAATGTTTCGCAACAATATATCGGGCCGATATAAAAGCGCTGATGAAACGACGCAAGTTTGTCAGCATGGAAAGTGAGGAATCCCAAGTATCAAAATTTAATAACCAACCTCCCCCTTGAGATCCTCTGAGCGGAAGCTCGACACCGTAGCTCAACCCTTGGAGGGGTTACCCTCGTGGAACTTTCAGAATTAATCCGAGTTAACTCGGAAACGACTCTGTTTCTGCTTAGACGAACTTGAAATGCCGTCACCGCCGTGCTATCTGACCCCAAGGCTCTCCAGGATTTCCAGGCCAAGCCATCCCTCGCATCCTCCTATTTTTTTCTTTTCTTTTCTTTTTTTTTTTTTTTTTTTAACGATCACTATCCCGCGACTAAGTTACGCCGGACCTCGTTCAAACTTTCTTGAAAAATCGAGGCGAGTCGAAATTAATTAACAACGACAGGGACAACGATCACGCTGGAGCGCTGGGTGGCCCTTCTTTCGCTCGCAATCGAAATTTATTCGCAACTTCTCTCTCCCCTCTCCGAAGTATTTCCTCTCCGAGAAGTTGAAAGAAATTAGGGGAGAAAGTTTTAGCGGTGGTTGTAGAGGAAACAGCAGCTAATTGTAGCAGCAGTAGCAACGTAATTCGCTCGCCAAGATTTTTACTTTGATAATAAAATAAAATTGAACTCGGTGGTTGAGTTTGCCTCCCCTTTTAGCCGTGATCGAAGTTTCACAAAGCGGGAATTTTAATTTCAATATATTCATCCGTAAAGAAAGAAATTAAATGACAAAATTTCCGATTAATCTCCCTTCTCCTATAAACTTTCAAACTTCGAAGGATTTGTAATAAATGATGTTAGGAAGGGATTAGCGCGAATTCCGGATGAAGAGAAAAAAGGAAAGAAGAGAAATGAAAATTTGATGGAAGGACGACTCACCTTGACCCAGAATTTCTGTTTAAGTTTCCACGGTTATTCAATCAGCAGCTCCCCTGCCGTTCTGGACTTCCCCTTCTGTTTCCACCTTGAATCGCGTTGTCCCCAAGAGTGTTCAGCCACTTCCTGCAAAAGTCGAATGCAAATCCCTATCAATCTCCGCGACGTAAACGAGAATTCCGCGTTTTAAGTGTTAAAACCAGGGACGCGATAGTTTGCCGATGGTTTTTGAATTGAAACGCAGTCATTCAATGGTTCACCCACACTCGAGTACAATCGTTCCCCTGTTCTTTGTCTAATTAATCGCCCTTTAAAAAAAAAGGATCCTTTCGTAAAGTAGACAACTTTTATTTTCTAACATTTAATGACATGATATTTTCTCGATTTTGTTTCTTTTTTTTTCTAAACTACTTTCTCATTGCTCTTCGTTGTAATTCTCTCTACGTATAATATCAATGCTATTCTAAATCAAGATAGCAGCGAACAACGAATCCTTTAAAATAAATTAACGTTATTTATTCCATAAATACGATGACGTTATCACGCTTATTATCACAAATTATAATGTTTATCGGTGATTATTGCGGCGTGTTTATGTCATTATTTATTGGAGATATCATTATGATTATTTAATCCTGTACCATACAAATAGAAACGCGTGCCAAGAAGTGATTACACGGCACGATATCGGGATAACAAATTTCTCTAATTCAGTTAGGATGCAGGGAAATAAAATAGGTATGCGCGCGCGAATGAAGTGATGCCCAATTAACACGGGCCGTGGTGGTTTCGCGCGAAACTTCCGGGCAGCGGTGTCGAGTTGCGAATAACAAACTAATAAGCCTATTAGAGCGGAGAAAACGGCGGAAACGCGGCGGTAGTGGCCGGCGCGAGTGCAAAGCTAACTCGCATAATTAAATTCTATCTTGAGGCCGAGCGACGTCGAGCGACCGCCCACGAATATTTCAACCAACGAAAATTAATCGAGCAGCATTCAATTTGACGGGGCTGACTGCAGCTTAATTGCGTGCAAATTTTCCTGCCAGGGGAGGGGAAAAAATCGTTTATTCTCGTTCATTCCCCTTCCATTATGGCTACGATATAATGCTTTCAAAAATTACTCGATCTGGTCAATTTTAAATTAAAGTTCAAATTAAAGTTTGAATAATGAATAGAATTGTGGGATGAAAATATAAAATAATTTATCACTTTCGATATTTTTTAGGAACAGTTTTCTTTAATCCGTCTTCTAACATACGAGCGAATATAAATATAAATATAGGAAAATTTTCCTTCTTATCCAAAACGTATCAAAGCTACTTTCTCTAACAAATTTATATATTTTTGATTTCAGGTAAATCTTGGAGATATGGCACGATAGTCTGTCGTATTGAAAGAAGGCAATCTCTAACAAAAATAATAATAAAAAAAAAATTGATCTTCGAAACTCTGAGTCTCTGAGTCAAGAAACAATCTCAGGATCGTTTTACCAGATATCCATTTACTGTGAGTCAGTGGAAGAGTTTAGAAGCGAGTCAGCCCCGGCAAACTACAATTTTCCAGCACGTCAACCATATCGACGAAATGATCTCGATAGGTAAGAAGAGTAACCTCCTCCGATCCTCAGTGTGCGTATTCATCTGCACACTGTGTACCTTCCTCGACCCTTCTCCTTTTCTTCCTTATCTTACCTTCTCTCTCTCTCTATCAGCATTCAGGTGATGTCACAGCGCGCGACATCGTGCATGCGTGGTTCGTGCCAGTTGGTAACCCCATTGTAATTCTTTTTTCGGCAAGAATCGGTTCTCAGGAGATTGGAAAGGTGGAAATGAGATTTCCAGGGGCAATTTGAAGCGAGTTTGTGCCGGTAAAAGGGTCGAGATGAAGGGGGTCTCGTGACGACGAAGAAGAGGAGGAGGAAGTAGACGGGGTCGAGGGTTGACTAGCGCGAGATGAGAAGACGGATACACGGGTAAGAGGGGAGGATGGGAGGGGGGGAAAAAAGGGGAAGAAAGCGCGGAATGAGCTGCTTTATTATGTCTTGGTGGAGAAAATTTATCAGTCATCTTCTCTCTTTGATCTATCCCCCCTTCCTTGTAGCTTAACGTGCTACGATTTCTTTCATGGAAAAATTAAAAGGAACGAGATATTAAGATACAATATTAAGATAGACGTGATCGTGTAGAGTTACTATAGATCGTTGCAGAAGCTGATATCGAAAGGTTTTTTTTTTTAAATTGTAATACGATAAATCGATTTATATATATATATACACACGCAACGAGACGGAACTCAAGTTTGATGGAATTCGCTGTTGCCGTAGGTGTTGGGATTCCAAGAGTATGGATTGAACGTTACAGATTCAATTATAGTTACGAACACAAATTTCCACGGGATCAGGCCGGTTTACCTACCGAGTTTGTTCCATTTTCCGGATAAAGGATTACCGGGAGAAATGTGGTTGGATTATTTTAAGACGTGCAACGTTAACTCACAAGAAGTTTCCTGGCCGACTTCAAACACATTTTGGAGACTTAACAGGGCTTAAATCGTTCCAATGCCTGGGGAATAATTTACTTTGGGCCGTGAGGGTGAGTGTCTAACGAATTAGCCATTCAGCGGGATAATAATTTAATAACAATTCTCCATTGTAAAGAATTTTTTATTCGTGATTATTAGGATAAACGTTTGTTGTTTTCTGTTTGAAGATTACTTTCTCTCTCTCTCTCT